GCATGATGCTGCCACCACCATGCTTCACTGTAGGGATGGTATTGGTCCGGTGATGAGTGGTACCTGGTTTCCTCCGGACGTGATGCTTGGCATTCAGAGTTAAGAGTTCAATCTTTGTTTCATCAGACCAGAGAATTTTATTTCTGATGGTCTGAGCATCCTTGGGTGCATTTTGGTAAACTGAGGAGTGGCTTCAGTCTGCTCACTCTACTAAACAGGCCTGATTGTTGGAGGGCTTCAGAAATGCTTGTCCTTCTGGAAGATTCTCTCTCCACAGAGCAATGCTGGAGCTCTGTCAGAGTGACCATCACTCCTTGACTAAGACTTTTCTACCTCAAACTCTCTAACTGGTGAGGTGGCAGCTCTAGGAAAGTCCTGGTGGTTTCAAACTTCTTCCATTTACAGATCTCTGTGCTTATTGGGACCTTCAATACTGCAGAAATGTTTCTGTGCCTCAACGCAAGCCTGTCTCAGAGCTCTACAGACAATTCCTTGGAGCTTCTAAGCCTAATGATGCTCCTATTACAGGGAAAAATAAATCAGATTAATCTTAGTAAAAACTCACCATCATAACAGAAGAAAGGATTTTTGTTGTTGCATTCATCAGAGCTCCATTTTCCTGATCTGTTTAACAGAGTCACAGCACATTTCCTGTTGTTTTGTCCATCATAAAATAACTCCATATCCCAGTGCCTGAAAGAGAAATTTCTTCCATCTGACCACCTCCAGGTGTCTCTGAACAGGCCGATCCACACAGTCATCGGAGAGCCATTGGACTCCTTCAGGATCTTAAATTCTTCCCCATCCGCCTGATCAAGTCCACTGGCCAGGTCAGTGTAGTGATCTCTGCAGTAGTTCTGAGCCTGTGTCCAGGTTATCTTCTTCTCAATCAAATGGACCGATTTACCGTCTCTCTTCTTTCCTGTTAAGCAAAACATCAAAACAAAACAAAATTTCCATCACCACAAACATTTGAAGAAATACAGAAAGACACATAATTTGTATGATTCCTCAAACATGCTTTCTCTCCATTTCTCTTTCAGTTCAGTTATATTATCAAATCCGACTATTATCCACATATTCTCACCATCGTAGCAGATGAACCACATAGTTTGGTCACATGTGACATCTGCCCAGTTTTCTCTTGTCTTCACACAGTTCTCATTTTGATTTTGGTCATCTGGTTCAGAAGGTCCCCATCTGGTTTCATGTTCAGTGTATTTCACCCCTGGCAGAGACCAATGCCACATCCTGTTTTCTTTTCCTGGGTTGCTGAACAGTCCAATCCAGGCTTTACCTTCATACTCTGTGGATTCACGCAGTCTCGCCATGTCTGCCATGTCAAACACGCTGGCCAGGTCTGCATAATTCTCTCTGCAGTATTTCTGTGCTTCTTCCCAGGTTTTGTCTTCTCTAATAAAGTGGTACTTATACGGGTAACAGGTGGAGACGAAACACTGACCTAAAAGCAGTAAAATATTAGCAATAATGCTGCATTATCAAATCAAACTCACTGGTTCACAGATAAACAGTCTACAACACAAGTGTGACTCTGATCTCAGTGATCTTCTCATTGAAAGACAAATGTGAGTGAGATAATGTTCACAGTAAACAAAGACATGAGATTGAAATAAAAAGGATTATCCATAACAAAAAGAAACAATTGAATTGATGGAGATCAAATGAAAAGCAAAGATAATTAAGAAACAGATTAAAAAAAATATTGTCAAAAAAAAGAATCATAAGTTTGTAATAAAATACACATCAGGAAGAGAGGAGTGAAATCTACAACAGGCAAAATTAACCAGATACTACAGAAAATGAATAAAAGGAGTGAAAAAACACACCAAAGATCATTGAAAGGACAATCATGAAAGAGCAACGTAGTGGAAATATTGAGAGAAAAGAATTACAGCAATAAATAATAACAATAGCGAACATCAGAGCAGAATGTAAACTGGAAAAATACAAACATGTTAGCAGAATAAAACTGAGGAAGCAGTGCGGAGACTTTCCACTTACCCATCAGAAGCAGAAACCGACTCCACCACATCTTTAATCTGCCACATAATGAAAACACTTTGATTGTAAAACATGTCGTTTTAGTGTGTGTGTAGAGAAATTACATTCATATAGAACTTGCACTTAAAATGCTGGAAGTCACTGTTTTGTTTGATACTGTGTTTGGATGTGTTTCTCGAGGAACTGTATGAAAACATGTTTTAGTTCTTTTAACATCCAAATAAAATGATCTGTTAAATTAATCTGATAAACCACATAAATAAAATAAACCACATCTCTGATTGAGAAAATCTTACCTTAAACTCAGGTTAAGAAAATTAAACCTCTAATACAACAGCTGGTAAATGGTCTGAAACACATTCGGTACTTAGAATATTTTATGATGCATAGAGTTTATTACTTTTAGCTTCTCTTTAATATCTTAGTGTTTATTCTTCATATATGTAATTGTGTACAGTGACGCTGGTTGCACATTGTTAATTCATGAAGCTTTTATCAGTCTGTTGTTGCTTTTGCCATTAACTTGTCACATTTATCCAACAAATACAAGGTTTTTAAGAAATAGCAACATCTAATCATGAATGAAACCCTCATCAGTTGAGCCTATACTGTATAAAGTTTAACCTGGAAGTGTATTAAGTGCTACCCAGGAATCAAGAAAAACCAGACAGTATGTATAAAATGACCCATTTATTACTAAATAC